CACAAGGAAAGAACAAAAAAAGAATAATTTTGCTAATTATATGAGGCATGAAGAGAGGGAATTAAAGAGGGAAAAAATCGTTGGGATCTAAAATAAGAAATAAAAATTGCAGTGTTAAGGATTTAACAGAACAAAATAAATTCCGTTGTAGACCAATTAAATATATCATCAGCCTCTTGTGCATAAAAAAATCCATTGTGCCTCTACTTAGGAATACATGGGGCACACTAAAAAAAAAGACTTGCGGAGGAGCTTGTCAAAAGTGACCATGTTACTTTTGAATCTCATGATGATGTTGGTTTTGTTGAATCTCATGTGATTTGGGAGTACATGAGAGTTGACAATAGGTATATGTGGCTCTACCTTCTCTATTATAGGTGATCCAGTCACTTCCCAATATGAATTTATTTGCAAGTTTTGCGGGAGTGGAGGCAAAGAATGAAGTCACCCCAAATCGCTGCACTGGTGCTATGTATTGTGGAAGGTCGTGCACACATTGGCAAGGGTTGAGCCATATTCGATTCATTTTGGGGTGTTAAGGCAGAACAAACCCAAATAGTTGAACTGGATCTGCTCAGATACCAAATCACGGTTCGGAGCCCGTATACAGACATCCAAATGCATGGTTCAATGGTCATGGCGGAACAACACAACATGATTGATTGCCAAAAACATGTCCAAGTTCATGTTAGAGATGAAGAAGATGGACGGCTGTGACAGTGAAGTGTATGCGGTTTAAGTTGAGTCAACAAGTTGATGAGCTCGCACCTTAATTTAATTTTGCATTAATAACTATTATTGTGAGTGATCAATAAAGAAATGCATCGCCTGGTACATTAAGTAATGATTGGTGTTCAACCACATGAACATGTATATGCGGTTGCAGCACACAAGGAATTACAAGCTGGTGTGGGTAGGGGCTCGAGAAATCGGCATGGTGAGTGTGATGACCAAGATCATCGCCTTGGGACTGATCACATTGGATGAAATAGGTGGGCAAGTGACCGTCATGGAAGATGATGACGAAGAGGAGAAGTGACAACACAGATGAGTCGCTATGGGTGTGCGAGAGTTTGTTTCTCCCGTTGCAATGCATGGGCATTTGTGCTAGTGAAACAAAAAAAGGATAGAAAAGAAATGAAGAAACAGGAAAAAAACAAAAAAAAGACCTAAAACCGGTTCAGGAACTTCCCTTACGTTCTACAAGGTTCCTAAAACCAGAAAAGCCCGACTAGAATGTCCTAGAACGTTCCCAAAACCGAGCGGTACTGTAGCGCGTTCTTTACTAATAATTGGGCTGGCCCATGAAGCTGGCTAGTCGATCGTTCTGTGCGAATCAACTACAATTTGCCGCAGAATGCGGCAGATAGGCTTTTCCCTCCTAGTTAGCATTCGCAGCGGGAGCTAGCGGGCCGGCCCAATCAAAGAGAAAAATCAGTAAAAAACTTACTGGTATAACGATGCAAAAACTGGGATTCAAACCCATCAGTCCATCACCTAAGGTATACCAATGTAACGCCCGAACCACCAGACCGAGATGCTAAGCTTGTCAACTATAAGAAAGGAGGTACATTTGACCCTTCCTCTACAGATATATTATAGACCCAGAGTTAATTATTTGAAAAAGAAATTCACAAAAAACCCACGAATTCTGAAAAAAAAAGGTTCATGAAAAATGGAAAAAAGATCATCATTTTCGGATAAAACCTTCATCCATTTTGAAAAAAGTTCACAAATTTGAAAAATAGTTTACTGTTTTCGAAGAAAAGTTCCTCGATTTCGAAAAAAGTTCATCAAATTTCAAAAAAAGTTCATTGAATTGAAAAAAAGTTCATCGATTTTCAAAAAAGTTCATAAAAATTTATAAAGTTCATGGGTTTGAAAAAAGTTCATGGATTTCAAAAAAAGTTCATCGAATTTGAAGAAAAGTTCATCAAATTTGGAAAAGGTCCATACAATTTTACAAAAAAAAATCATTTTATTTCAAAAAATGTTCACGGAATTTGAAAAAAGTCCATCAAATTTCAAAAAAATTCACGAAAATAGAAAAACGTTCACCAAATTTGAAAAAAGCTCATCAAATTTCAAAAAAAGTTCGTCAATTCGGGAAAATTTCATTGATTTTCAAAAAAGTCCACGAATTTAAAGAAAAAGTTCACGGATTTTAAAAAAAGTGCGCAATAAAAAAAATTGGGAAAAAAATGAAAAAGGAATAAACCGAAGTGAAGAACGAGTAAAATGAACTAACCATACACCAGCGAGTGGATGGTCTGGTGGCTACAATCGATCGCTCCAACGAATGGGTTGCGAGGTCGAACCCCAGCACTGTTTTTGACGTTTCAAAACACAAGAAGGAGAAAGATCGAATGGGTCGGCCCATCTTGGACTACTGTTGGCGCCTGTTTGCAAATTGCACTGTAACGAATGGGCCGGCTCATCTTGGACTGCTGTAGGCGCCTGTTTGCAAATTGCACTGTAACGGGCGCCTGCAGCGCCAAATAGGAAATGCCGTGAGGAAGGGTTCCTATTTGACGAAATCACTAATCAAAGAGTACTCCTTACAAAGATCACTCACACTTTCTCAGGTTGCGACAAGTGATAGAGTTCTCCTTTTTCGTGTATTCTTTATTTAAATGTTTTATCTCTTAAACCGTGCGTCCAAATCTCGAACAGTTTTTCACCATTAGATTCCTCGTGTCAAGGTCTTCGAAACTAGATCATTTGTTGATAGGTTCTAAGAAAAAAATCATGAAAAAACTAGACGAAAAAAACGTACGGAAAAAGGAATCGGGAGCACATTTTTTTTCTTTTCCGAAAGAGGCATAGCTGTGCCTTCTTGCGAAAGCGCAATCGTGCCTCTTCCAAAAGCAAAACCATGTCTCTCGCGGAAGGAAAAAACAGAAAACGGTTTTTTATGCCTCTCGCGGAAGCAAAACTGTGCCTCTCGCAGCAGAAAAAAAACATGTTTTTTTGTTTCCGAAAGGCACGGCGGTGCCTCTCACGAAAGCAAAACCGTGCCTCTCGTGGAAGGAAAAAACAGATAACGTGTTTTTTCCGTTTCCGAGAGACACGACCTGTCTCTCGCGAAAGCAAAACCATGCCTCTGGAGGAAGGAGAAATACATAAAGATGTTTTTTATTTTTATTTTCAAGAGGCATGGCAGTGCCTCTTGTGAAAGCAAAATCGCGCCCCTCGCGGAACTAAAATCGTGCCTCTTGTGGAAGCAAAGAAAACACATGTTTTTTTCGTTTCCGAGAGGCATGACAGTGCCTCTCGCGGAAGAAAATAAATGCACTTTTCGCGTAACAATTTTTTCCAAAGTTTTTGTCTAAAAGCTTAGGAAGACCGGTGAAAAACATAAAAGTAAAAAAACATGTAAAAAGCTGAAAACATGTTTTTTTCGTTTGCGAGAGGCACGGCCATGCCTCTCGCAAAAAAAAAACAGGAAACACATTTTTTTCCCTATTTCTGGCCGTGCCTCTCGCGAAAGCACAACCGTGTCTCTCTCGAAAGCAAAATTGTGCCTATCGCGGAAGGAAAAAAACCAACAGAAAATGCGTTTTTTCGTTTCCGAGAGGCACGACCGTGTCTCTCGCCAAAGCAAAACTATATCTCTTGCAGAAGCAAAGTCGTGCCTCTGGTGGAAGGGGAAAAAAATAGAAAGCACGCTTTTTTTTGTTTCCGAGAGGCATGACTGTGCCTCTCGCGAAAGCAAAATCGTGTCCCTCGCGGAAGCAAAGCCGTGCCTCTCGCGGAGAAAAAACATGTTTTTCCGTTTCTAAGAGGCATGACAATGCCTCTCGCGAAAGCAAAACCGTGTCCCTCGCGACAGGAAAAAATATATCATTTTTTACGTTTTTTTTCAAAATTTTTCTTTTTGTCCAGAAGCTAAGAAAGACCGATGAAAAACCCAAAAGTATAAAAAACCACGTCACATGTCGCGCTCTTGATGCTCCCTCCTGGATCTCGGCCTCCCTGTTGCCAGCAGCGGTGTGGTATGCCTTCATGAACTTGCCGCGAAGTCCCTGTACTTGGGAGGGTTCGTCTTCTGGTCCACCGTGGCCAGCACCGGACCTATCCTGTAGTCCATCCTCCTGGGCCTGACCAGCGTCGCCACCGACATCCTCACCTTGGTATAGTTCGTCACCACCCGGTGCTCCACGCTTGCAAGCAGCCCGTTGTTTATAATCTAGTACTGTACATGCAAACATGTTTACTCGTTGATTAGGTATCCTGCGTATATACTCACTCTCCATGATTATTAATAGAATTTTTGTGATGCGGCCTCCATCCTTTTTATTTTATTGTTTCTTTCTCTTATTTGTTTTTTTATTTATTTTCCGGTTCACCTTTCTAAAATAGATATGCTTTTTTACCTTTTTCTTTATATTTATTTTCTTTATTTCAATACACAAGGTTCTTATAGATTTGTTCATCAGGTTTTAAAAAATGTTCATCGCACATTTCTAAAGATGTCCGGGATATATTTATAAATTAAGTCGTGTATTTAAAAAAATATTCACCGCATTTTAAATATTATTCATCACATATTTTAAGAAGCCTTCTCTGTGTATGTTGAAAACATTTTAGCTGTTTTAATTTTTATAGTGTATTAAAAATGTTCTTCACATACTAAAAAATGACCATCGTGTATTTTAGAAAATTCTCACAATGTTGTGTATTTCAAAAATGTTCATTGGTATTTTAAAATAAATGGTGTATATTTGAAAATGTTCAATGTGAATTTAAAAAATATTTATCATGTATTTGAAAATGGACACCCCGCAAAAAAAAAGTATTTGAAAATGGACGGATGAAAACTCCATTTTCAAGCGAAGATCACATGCAGACAAAATTTAGCTTTCCAATACAAACGTAGAAGACTGGTCCATTCATCTTGATTCTTGAAACAAGTAACTTTCAATTGTACTCGCGAAATCGTGAATCTCCTGTAAGAGAGTCCATGGTATAATCTTAACAGATGCGTAACCTAGCCTGGACTACGGCGGCGGTAGGACGGACATCAGACTGTCGGCGCGGCGGCGCACGTTGTCCCTGAGGCGCTGGAGCGCCCTGGCGAACTCCGGCAGCTCGGCCTCCCCGAGCGCCTCCACGTCCGCCTCCCACCAGAACCGCTTCCCCTCCTGCGTCTGCACGTCCACCACCTTCTTCCCGACGGCGCTCATCCGCGCGGCCTCCGCGGCCACCTCCAGGCCGTTCTTCTCCGTCTCCTGGCACAGCGCCTCCAGGGCCTCCCACTCCACGTCGTCCGCGGCAGCAGGGACATTGGCTTCGCCGTAGCCGGCGTAGCCCAAGACGGCGTCGGTGGAGGGGCTGCCGAACGCGAACCCTTTGCCGGCCTCGGAAAACACGACGACGGCGAGGCTGGCGCGGCAGAGCACGGCGAGCTCGGAGGCCTTCTTCCAGAGCCCGGACTTTCGCTTGGAGAAGGTCACCTGCCGGGACTCCCTGTCCTCCACCAGCCGGTTCTCTCTGCGCTGCCGCCCTTTCGTCTTCTTGCCGAGCGGCGGCTGCATCCTGGTCGTCGAACGAGGCACGAGGGGGAGAAACGCGACGGCGGCGGCGGCGGAGGCTGGTGCTCTGTTTCTTTGGTTGAGCTTGAACGAAGGGGAAATATACGAAGCCGTACCTAGTCGAAGCCGTGTTGGAGTTGGAGATGCCGTAAACTTTTGGAAGGAAATCAATCACCTTGTGCGAATAATTACTGGACTCGTGCGCGGTTACCAATTTGCAGCGAACCGATCGATGTAATAAGTTTTGGAAAGTATCTTTCTTTCTTTTGGAAAGTTTACTGTAGTAATCGGAAGGGGCCAGCTGAAATCTCTCGATGCGTCGGCCGTGTCGCAATGCTCGTCGCGTTCTCTCACGGCTTATTCTAAAATAATAGTAGGGATATTTCTATTTTTTCCCTAATTTTCATCCGACCTCATCTTTACCCCTAAATAAAAACTGTTCAATTATACCCCCTTTCCGTTTTGTGCTCTTATGAAAATACCCCTCCATGCCATTCCCATCTGGTCAAAGGGTTTGACAATTAGATGAACGTTTTCCAGACATTTTTACCCCTCCCTAAAGAAAATAAAGAAAATTGAAACAAAAGAAGAAGAAAAATACAGAGAGAAACTTACCTGTAGCCGGGCCATGTAGCCCACCCCACACCGCAGATAGTTGTCTTCAACCTTGAGCTGGGATTGACTCCAAGAGCCGCCACTCGCTGTTGGTCCACGTCTGCGTAGCGACCGGCTAGCCTCCCTCCAACCACCATGTCCAAGAGCTCTGCGAGGACGCCTTCTACCTCACCATACACGGGTTCGATCTAGGAGGGCCAAAATCAACCAAATCGCCGCCGTCTTCGTCCCCTGCAACGAGCACCGCCGCCGCTCGATTCGCCGTCTGTAGAGCTTCCCCCCTCACCAACTAGGCCGACAGCTTTGCCCTCTACTGTTGGGTTCTACGGTAGGGTGCAACTGCAAATTAAAATTTTCCTACGCGTAGAACAACCAAGATCATGCTATGGGAGATGGATCACAACTCGTTACCACTAGACGGCAGTGCCGTGCAGCGGATGAAGAGTTGGGGCAGCGCGTCCGCGAGGATTGTCTCCTTCTCTTCCGATCTCCCTTGAACTGCCGGTCGTCCAATTCCACGTACAAGTTCGCCGGAGCGGCGCAGGTGCACCACCTTTAACGGTATCCGCGCGTGCAGGAGGAACGCCATGCGGCGGACTGCTAGGTCCGGTCACACACTCGACGACGAGTGGAGGTGGCTATTCGCAACACATGCAAAGCCCTAGTGACAGTGCTGGAGTGATCAACCGAATGAGTGTGTCGCACCCCCATTTTATATAGGTGTCCATCGTGGGCTCAACACTTGGGCATCGCATGGACCCTAAATCCCAAAATCTGTTCGGCCTGGATCCGAGTCCGAGTAGGATCACTTCTAACTCGCGGACTTGGACCGGGCCTCACAGGTTTCTTCCCTTAAGCGCGCGACCCCTTAAGTTCTCGTTCACTTGGTCGCGAGTCAGATCATAGTCGGCATTGGCCTCTAGCAAAGCGTGCCGACTCCAAGTGTCCGATGAAGTTGGTTAGGCGAACATGTACATCACACTTCTTTTCCATGTGCCACACGATATATGTTGTCGGGCTCAAGGTGAGTCTGCCATCCTTATACTAGTCCGACCTCTTTCTCGTTCCAGTGATGCCAACCACAAACCGTATTATCTCATAATCCTAATCACATGGGCATGCTTATCTTTCACATGAGGGGCCCAGAGTATATCTCTCTTGATCGAAGGGGCAAATCCCATCTTGCTCGACCATGTCTCACAACATGGGTCTGGACAAGGCCGAAACCTACCTTTGTAACTACCCAGTCACGGAATAGCGTTTGGTTGACCCAAAGCAGGTTTGTCACCATATCGAGTGCATGCGCCAGCTCAGGTCTTAGGACATAGAACGTATGTTGTACTAGAGACTCACAGATGACATATCGTTGCGTCTCATAATCGGGTCTGTCCAACTCGAACCTTATCTCGACTCGGATCCGACCAGATCCTTCCGAGTCCATATTATCTGGTTAGCATCTAATGCTTCATGGCTAGTGAGACCGAGCAATCCACCGTGTCATATGCTAGTTTAGTCGGTTGCCCGTCCACACAACCCTTTCGACTAGGGACCTTTTAGGACAGCCATCATAGAATGTATAGTCCCACAAACAAGTCACATACTTACTGATACACATCATTGATAATGTTTAAGGACTATCTTTATTCATAAATACATAGGAAATATCATCATACATGATTGCCTCTAGGGCATATCTCCAACAGTCTCCCACTTGCACTAGAGTCAATCAAATAGACATCGAATGCACATAGCTCTAACGTGCCCCTCATGCTTCGGTTGTGGAAGCGGCTTAGTCAATGGATCCGCAACATTTGCATCCGTGTTAATTTTGCATAACTCTACATCACCACTCTTTACGATCTTTCGTATCAGGTGATATTTCCAATCTATGTGTCTGGTCTTGTGGTGATTCCTCGGCTCCTTGGCTTGTGCGATGGCACCAGAATTATCACAATAAAGGTCCAATAGCTTGACCGAGGCTGGAAAAATACCAAGATCATCCAGAAAGTTTTGGATCCAAACATCCTCCTTTGGAACTTCACAAGCCACAGTATATTCGGCTTCTGTGGTAGAATCGACCACCATATCTTGCTTGGAACTCGTCCATCTCACTACTCCTTCATTCATGACGTACACGAATCCGGACTGGGATCGACAATCATCTCTGTCGGTTTGGATACTAGCATCGGTGTAATGTTGGGGAACATTGCATGGGAAACAAAAAATTTCCTACGCTCACCAAGATCCAATCTAGGAGATGACCATCTACGAGAGGAGAGATTGGATCTACATACCCTTGTAGATTGCTAAGCGGAAGTGTTAAGTAATGCGGCTGATGCAGTCGAACGTCTTCGCGATCTAATCACGGTCCTTCCCGCAAACTCCCGATCCAAGTGCCGAACGGACGACACCTCTGCGTTCAACACACGTACGGCTTGATGATGCCTTCACCTTCTTGATACGTCTCCAACGTATCTACTTTTCCAAATGCTTTTCCTCTTGTTTTCCAACGTACCTCCTTGGATTTACGTTGTATCGCCATAGGACCATACGAGAAGACCACCGTGGAGACAAACTAGGTCTCGTCTCCCTCCTCTGACCCTCCTGCCTCAGGACCATCGCTTTTCTTATGCATCAACGTGTTTATAATTTGTTTGTTTCTGATTACATGGAGTGGCAAAGACGAATTTACAATGAAGTTTCACATTTATTTATTTATTTTATGCATATAATTAATAATGTTTTCTATTTTATGACCCATGATAAGAACGGTCAAATTATAACCTATAATCGTATAAGAACCAGAACATACCCCTCTGATTGTGAATACATTTTGTTTCTTCTTCATTAAATGCCAAAAGTCACACTTATGTGATCTTCAGCAAGTAAATAGTTCCCGCTCAGTACACCATGGCAGTTATCATGTTGAAAATTGTTAACATTTTTGTTCGCACATTAATATGAAACATTACCCACACAAAGGTTGTCCAAATTTCTGTACAGAATGGTATGTCCTTCTTCTCTCCCATTCCCTTTTTCGCAGAACAGGGCTACTAGGTTTCACACTCCCTTATCCCATCCCGCCTTCGTCCGGTGCTCCTGGGTTCCACCCCATGGTGGTACAGACCACTATAGGTAATGCGGAATTTCCTTGCGGATAGTAATGGGTGCGACAAGGCGTAAAAAAGAAAAGGAAGTAATGGGTGCGGCAACTACCTTTGAGTGTTTACCATTCTCCGGTCTACACATCTGGCATTTGCTAATGAGCTGTACTATTTTCTTCCTTGAATTGTTCCATTGTATTATCCTTGGGTAAGTGTGGATAGTTGTTACCTTAAGTGTAGATGTTGCTACATATTCTACCTTTTTTCTAGATACTAGCTAAGTGTCCGTGCGTTGCCACGGACTAACAAATATATATATATATATACAAAGAGAAAATTCATGTGACATGAGAGTCAAAGGCCATTTTTATGGGATGATATCTCATGGTCATGATCTAGTAGGTACATACATCTTGTCATTGTCTTTCTTCCACACTCCATGTCTGAGCTACCACGCGACACTCGACTTCCTTCTCCCACCATGCATGCTTTTATCTCCTATTTCTCCTACCTCTACCTTGCACGACAGTACCAAGTTTCTTGTCCAACTATCATAATCTTCTCCGGTAGGGCACCCCCTTAGATTATTACTGACTTGTACATGTTGCATATAAGATCAACGAAAATGGATACTAAATTTCTGATGAGAAATGAGAATTCAGGGCAATATCTTCCCAAGAAAATAATAATTCCAAGACAATCTTTTTATACCTTCTGTCAACATTGGGACACACATTCCACGCAATAAGCATGCAATGATGTTGATACTTGATTAATTGTCAATATATGTCTATAGTAAAGATAACTTTACTCAAAACATGTTTTTCTAAGAAGGAAGGATAATTCATATTAGAAAAAAAAATAAAGGTTTGGGTTCATCCCACCAATGTTTCTCTTGTGCAACTCATCTCCGCACCTGCTCACGAGATTGGCGTGTCTCGAGCACACCACTCCCACACACCCTCACAAGAGCGGCACAACCAATCTCTGAGTGCCACTAACACACATGCATGGAGCGCTCACTCCAAGCCTGACTATACACATTCCCACAGTAGCCGAATTCAAAGAGAATCAACGGGGCACCATCCACTGCTTTCTCAGGGTCCTATTCATCATGAAATCATAGACCAAGATATTCCTCCCATCCATTTTTTAGGGAAAGGATTTTTCTCGATGTTCCTCTCATCTTCATGGTAGTAATAACCTAAAAACGCCACCAGTCAACTCCGAAGAACATGCAACATTGTGAGAGTCAAAGTCATGGTCAGTCATCTCCGTCAAGAA